AAGAATTGGTCGAATCCCTTTTATATAAGGTATATGCATTAGGAGTAAATGTTGCACTGTACATATTTGCATTTATGTATGTATACGTAAAAGAAATGAATTGGACAAAAACAAAACATGACTGAGGAACTGAGGGAGTAGAATTAGAAAATATTCCTCCATATAACTTCTACAATTTCTGATAAAAGAGTCTTGCAAATTACTAGACTGTTTCTTATTCATATGAAGTGCTTAATTATGAGGGCATGCAGAGAAAGATTTCAGCAAAATATATGAGGAGATTTAAGAAGTTGAAAGTAGAGATGAAAGAGATCAGCAAAGAGCTGCAAAGCATTAGGGAAGGGCAACAGCAAGTTGGAGCAAAATTCAAGGCAATCGAAGAAGAATGTAATGCAACCAGATCATTCGGCAAAGTGCCAACACTTAAATCCGCCTCAGCCTGATATTCAATACCCTCAAGGCACGAGAAGAAGGCGATTTCTCCAAGGCTGCTCACTTAACTCGACTGCTTCGGTAAACCCAATTCTTTCCATTATTTTTTCTTTTAGTTAAATTCATTTCCCTTATGTTTTTAACTTTTTCCTACAGTGAAATAGTAGCCAGAGAAAATGGCCAATATGAAGCATCCGTACACTACTTCAATGGTCAAATCCCAACTTTCCTTTCCCAGGAAACGAATTCAATCTGAATTGCTCCAAAAGGCCCAGAATATAAGCCCAAGATGCTTGGGCCACAATTTACAATGTTGTTTTAATGAAACTTGAATAATATTTTTCCATGACACTGCTCAAAATCACCAAAGCTTGGAGGGTTGTTCCAAGTGTCATCTATATATTGGTGTGATTGAATTCCCATTTTATTTTTGTGTCTTTTTTCAATATTATGACTCCATAACTGTTTGGACTATTTCACAGAGTAACGAGTTCTTAGCTCTTTCTCTTTGACAGATTTCTTAAACATGTAGGGTCCCTATGAAAAGCTAAATGTTTTAGGGATGAAGCCATTAACAGTAAGTATACAACTAACTCACTTGTTTCAGCAAGATATTAAAAAGACTACTACTAAATCCAAATGGAAATCGCTCTCAACTCCAATGCCTTTCCCCCACTTCACCAACCTCACGGGTTGGGGGCCGGCCGGCCACCGGACCCCTTCCTTAGCCTCCCGCCGCGTGCAGCATCCCAAAGCATACTGGCCGCTGACATCCATCCATTTATAGAAGAAAAGTTTCAACCGTCGCACATCCAAGGTTATCCGCAAACCATACAAGCCAAAAATCAGCCCCTGCCCTCCCCATGCCCTAAAAAAGTCCTTTCTGTCGATTCTTGCGGGCGACGAGCAGTCTATAATCCCCTCCACGTGAGATCCAATCATCTACAAGGATAGACCTGCTGCGGCGTTTTTTGAAGATGAAATCTAGACCCTAACGCAACCCTTCTCACACTCCATTATCGGGAAGTTTAGCCGTATGCCAAACTGCAGGTAATTCGACGGGCATTCAAAGACATTGGCCTTGCGAGTGCGTATGACATTCGTTGGTTGGGCTATAAACATGTTCTGATCCATTTATCAAATGAGCAAGATTTCAACCGG